AGGCCCTGACCCCTGAGCCCGGTGTGTGCTGAGCACAGGCCCTGACCCCTGAGCCGTGCTCGGGTCCCAGAGCTGGTTTAGTCAGGAGATTAGCAGTCACCGCAGAGCGAGGGTCTCAGGCCCCAGAGGGCCGCGCTGTCCACGTGCCGAGGCTGGGGGCCGGCAGGGACTGGCCCCAGCCTTCCCCCGGCCCCCTCTGGGAAGACCAGACACCCTCTGATCTTTGGGCTAGGCCCCCGCCCCAAGGACACCCCTGTTCACCCCTTTATGAAGACTATCCGGCACCTGTGTGCGCTTGGCACCAGTGGCTCCATGCACGGCATGCCCAGAGGGGAAGTCCGGAGCTCTGTGCGGCCTTAGGGCTTCCCTGAGCCCCTTCTCTGCAGCTCTGAGGGCCCTGTTCAGGCCCTTGGACAGGGGCAAGGCAGCAGCAGCAGGGTCCCCTGCGGTTGCCTGGCCACCCCTCCGAGGAGTTGGTTTGTGTGGGAGGAGCCTTGGCCACACTGGGCCCAGGTGACGCTGGGCTGCCCTGGGCTTGCCCACCTGCGATGAGGGCAGGTGTGGGGGTACGCCCCTGTGCCTGGGGAGGATGGAGGGGCTCCAGGAAGCCTGGCTGGGGGGGGAGGCGGGCCTAGCGGGAGGAGCGGAGCCAGCCAGGGCTGATGGGCGGTGCTAAGGCTGGAGGCATCATTTGGTGTCAGCTGGTAAGATGAGGCTACCTGCCTCCTCTGCCCTGCCTGCTTACGTTGGGCCGACGTGTGTGTGGCTCTCCCTGCACGACCCGGTCTGGGTTCAAACTTTCAGGTTGAGACGATCCTCCTGCATCGACCTCCCAAGCAGCCGGGACCACAGGCTCGTGCCCCTGTGCCACCCCGGCCTCTTCGGGGTCAGGCCACCAGTCCCTTGCCAGCTCTCGGCCGCCCTCACGCCATGCCCTCCTCCAGTCCCCGCCCTGTGGCCCCGGGACCTGAGCAGAGGCCGGGGCACAGCCTGCGGTGGGGATGGGCCCTACTGGTACTGGAGCCTTAGCTCAGAGCTGGGGATGCCAAGCGGGAGCAAGACTCCCCCCCCACCCCCAGCAGAGGCCTGAGAAGCAGCCAGCTGCACCGGCAGGGAACCGGAGAAAGTTCTGGAGCCTAGGTCTGACCTGCCGTTTCTCTCCAGTTGCTGTCGGAGCAGCTCGACTGCGGTGCTGCCCACCTGCAGCACCCGCTGTCCATCCTGCAGCCCCTGAAGGCCTCGCCCGTGTTCCGGGCGCCGGGGCTCACGGCCGTGGCCGTGGCCAGCATCAACAACTACACGGTGGTCTTCCTGGGCACTGCCAACGGGAGGCTCCTCAAGGTAGGCGCGGCGGGGCGGGAGGGGTCTGCACGCGGCTGCCCGGCCGCCTCTGGTCCCGTGCACACCACGCTTGACAGTTTCCAGACTTGCCACGTCTGCTGCTCCACCGTGGCCCGTGCCAGCGGGAGGCCCGCCCAGGCACGGGGACGCAGGGCTCGGCAAGGCCTCTCGCCTGCATCTCCAGGCCCAGCCTGCCACCATGTTTCTGCTCTGCCACTGTCTGGCAAATGCGAATTTTCCTCCTGGGCCTCAGTTTCCCCATCTGTTAAGGGCTATAAGCTGTGACTGAGGGTCCTCAATCCCGTCTCCGACCCACCTCTGCTGGCCACCACCCCAGTCTCTGTGCCCTGTGTGTCCTGGAGCTCGAGAGGAAGGTTGAACCCCATTTCCCACTCCAAGGCAGGACTGCTAACCACTCGCGGTGGGCAGCGTTGGCCGCTGGGCCCATCTCCACCCGTGCACCAGGCCCTCGGCCTAATTGACTCAGAGCCGCTAATCTGATCTTCTCAGCTGCCCAGCAGACGCCTGGGCAGGGCAGGCCAGTCCTCAGGGGACGCACGGAGGGGTCTCGGAGCTGGCCCGGGGCCTGTGAGCTCCTCCGTGGTGGAAAGCGGGTGGCCACTGTGTGCCAGGTGCAGAGGGTGGCGGTGCCCCGCCCCGCCGTGTGACCTGGGGACAGTGCCTCCCCTCCCCCACCGCCTGTGGCAGGCCATTGAGGCACCTGCTGGTTCCAGCTCCTCCCGAGGAGGCCAGGGGGGGTTGCCCTGTTGGTTTCCCACCCCCACGCCTGAGGTGGGGCAGCTCCTGAAGGGGACGCCACGCTGGGGGGACGGCCTCTGCCCGCAGCAGGGTGGGGCGCTTCATTGATTTACCTTGGCGGGGCTGGGGCTGGAACCCAGGGCCTCACACCTGCGAGGCCAGAGCTCAGCCTGGGCCTGTCCCGCCTCCCCGTGCGGCTGGTGGGGTGAGGGAGGGGGAGCGGATCGCGGGGCCTCAGATGCCTCCATGAGTTGCTTTCACAAGCCTCAGGGAGCCCCTGGAGACCTCTGAAGGAGGCCGCGGCTCAGGACACCCAGGGCCCGGCCTGTGAGCTCACTAGACCACTGGTCCTACCCTGGTCCCAGCTCAGGGCCTGGCAGGGCCTTGACCAGACAGCGTGTTGGGCCAGATAAAAAGTGACAGAACGTGACAAGACTCAGCCGGGCGCTGTCAGTCCTCAGGGGACACACAGAGGGGTCTCTCCGGGTGTCCGGAGCCTGGGCTCCTTTCCTTCTTGGGCCTTTGGCCCCCAGCCTCGGCCTTGGGCTCTGGGCTCTGCCTCTGACAGGCCTGGATTTGTTGCATTGGCCCTGAGATGGCTTTGTGTTGTGACACTTGTCCCGTCCCTCCACCGTGGCCCAGACGCGGCTCCGTGTGGCTCTGCGTCCTCTCACCCAGGGGGTTCGCAGTCCGGTGGGGTGGGTGACCATCCTTGCCTCCTCAGCTCGGGAAACCGAGGCTTAAAGAGGAAGCGCACCGCGCGCCCGGTGCTGTGTGCACCTGTGTAGCTTATACGTGCCAAACCCCAATGCAAACTCAAGCCCTTGCTCTTAGCCATGATGCCAAAAAGTCTCCCTGAGAAGGTTCTGGAAACTGTACCACTGGCCTATATTCACAGAGAGGAGCTGGAGAAGAGTGGGGGTGAGGGTTTCATGGAGGAGAAAGGACGTGTGGGTGCCTCTGGGCTCCCCGCTGTGCCTGTGGGAGGCAGGAGCAGGAGGGGTGTCCAAGACCCGCACCCCGTCCCAGTCTGCCCCCCTCCCCACCCCCTCCCCTGGCAGGCAGCCGGCTGCCCGGCCTGACCACGGTGCTCTGCAGGTGAACCTGAACGAGACCATGCATGTGGTGAGCAGCCGCGTGCTGACCGTGGCCTACGGAGAACCTGTGCATCACGTCATGCAGTTTGACCCCACAGACCCTGGCTACCTTTACCTCATGACCTCACACCAGGTAAGGGGCCCCAGCCACACAGTGCCCGGGCTAAGCTGAGCCTGGCATTTGCACAGTGCCATTTCTCTGCCACTGGCGGCACTGCCCTTCCCCGCCCTGTGTATGATCACCTGCCAGGCCTCGTCTCTCCCGTGGCTCTACCAGAGCTCCAGCCTCGGTTTCCCCAGCTTGTTTCAGCCTTGGCCATGCTGCCCGGCCTCCTGGGCGGGGTGGGCAGGCTGGTGCCGCTCAGCGGGCCTTTCCTGTGCCTGCAGATGGCCCGGGTGAAGGTCGCGGCATGCGAGGCGCACGCCACCTGCCGGGACTGCGTGGGCGCTGCCGACGCCTACTGCGGCTGGTGCGCTCTGGAGACACGGTGAGGACTGGACGGCGGGCGTGGCGGGTGAGGGTGGCCAGGGCCGCGGGGCTGACCGTGTCGGACCCGCAGGTGCACCCTGCAGCAGGACTGCGCCAACTCCAGCCAGCCCCATTTCTGGACCAGTGCCAGTGAAGGCCCCGGCCGCTGCCCCTCCATGACCGTGCTGCCCGCGGAGATCAACGTGCGTCAGGAGTACCCGGTGAGCGCCGTGCACGCCCGCGACCCCCTGGGGGAAAGGGGGCGGCCAACGGGCACCCCAGCAGTTGCGTGTGCCCCTGTGCGCTCCCGCAAGATGTTCTACCACAGGATTCTTCGCTTGCCTTCCCCCTGCGTAGTCTGGGGTGGGTTCCCATTCGCTCACGCACTCATCCATTCACACGGCAGTGTGACCATCCGTACGTAAACTCTGGGTGTGCATCAGGAGCAAGACCGCACTGACGCGCTCCTAGGGGAGCAAGAAGAAGCCAGGGAGTGTCAGGGTGACCGCAGGTGTCGGAGGAAAAGGGAGGAGTTTAGAGAGGGGCTGAGGGGCGAGGAGGGCCAGCGTTCACACTTCAGTAAAGGAGGAAGAGAACCAGGGCAGGCAATGACAGTCCGGGCTGAGGGAACTCAGTATAAAGGCCCTGAGGCACTGAGAAGATCCCAGCCTTCAGGGCTGAGTTCACTTCCCTCCGGGGACTCCGGGGTAGGGCAGACTCCCGGTGCTCAGCCCTAGGAGCCTAGCTGTAAGAGTCGGTGCACTGAGAGTGCTCTGCCCCCCAGGGCATGATCCTGCAGATCTCGGGCGGCCTGCCCAGCCTCAGCGGCATGGAGATGGCCTGTGACTATGGAGGGGACATCCGCACGGTGGCCCGGGTTCCGGGCCCCGCCTATGACCACCAGCTGGCCTACTGCAACCTGCTGCCGCAGGCCCACTTCCCGCCCTTCCCTGACGCCCAAGGTGAGTGGGATAGGGTGGGGCGCAGGGGGGGGCTCCGGAGGAGGAATGCAGGGCTCCTGACGTCACAGCTGGAGCTGTCGGGACCTCCTCGCCCATGTGCCTCCCCTCATCCATTCCAGATCACGTGACTGTGGAGATGGCCTTGAGGGTCAACGGGCGCAGCATCGTCACGGCCAACTTCACCATCTACGACTGCAGCCGCATTGGACACGTGCGGCCCCGGGAAGCGTGAGTGGGGGCGGGCCGGTCCCTTTGCACCCTCTGGGCGCTGCCTTCCGTCTCCCGCACACACCTGGGAGGAAAAGGTGCTGACAGCGGAATGGCCCCTCGGAGCCAGAGACACTTTTCTCCCTCGCACACCTTCCCAACAAATATCTGTGGGGATGGGCAGGACCCCTCCCCTTGGCTGGCACTGGCCTTCTGTCCACCCCCGTCCCCCCACCCCAGGGCAGAGTGAGCTGGGAGTGGGAGGGAGGTTCTGATGGGCCTTTCATCTTCCAGCTGCACCAGCTGCCTGTCGGCACCGTGGCCCTGCTTCTGGTGTGCACAGCAGCACACCTGTGTCTCCAACCAGTCTCGATGCGAGGCCTCACCCAACCCCACGGTAAGCCGCCCCGGGTGCCCTCCTCTGCGTCTGCCTGTTGTCGGATTCTGTGCAACGGTGGGAGCTGAGAGGGTGTGTGTTTCTTCTGACGTCGGCTGCACACAGCAGGTCCCACCCACTGCTTCCCGCTGCGCGAGTAGCCAGGACACTGCCCCCATCTTTGATTGCTCCCCCCAAAGACCCGAGCGTAGCGATGATATTTGGGGTGAACGTGTAGCCCTCTTCTTTGGGGTGAACGTGTAGCCCTCTTCTTCCAGCTGTAACTCTGTTGCTGTCCGGTCCGCCACTCCTATTTGTTTTCCTTTTGTACTTCGGTTCCCTACCTGTGCAGGGCAGCCATGCCCGAGAGCTTTGCTTCATTCCCCCCACCTGGCAGCTACTGGGCTTGGGCCTTGAACCCGGATCCCTCTGGCAAAGACACGAAGCTGGGGGAGTGTCCCCGCGGCCGGTGGTGCTGGGCTGTCCCTGGGTGAGGGGCTGCGCCTGTGCCTTGTACCCGAGGGCTGGATTTCACCCTGACCCGGGGCGCTGGACAGGGCACTGCCCATCCTGCCACAGGGGCTGTCGGGATGAGATCGCTGCGCAGCGTTCATCTCTGGCGCTGCACACGGCGGGCTGGGCCTGGCTCTGTGGCAGACTGCTGCCTCACACCGAGCGGGCACTGGGTTCCATCTCCAGCACGCACATGAAACAACAAAAGCCATGTGTCTCTCCCCAACCTCGGGCAGGGACAGCTGGAGCTCTGTAACGCAGGGGTGGCGCGGTGCTGTCAGGTGGGTGGCGTGCCGGGTGGGGTGCAAGGCCACGAGCTCTGGTAGACCTAGCCGGGCTGGGCCCCCAGAGTCTGTTATGTCAGGGCTGTGGGTCCCCGAGCTCCCGGCTCCACGCTGGGGAGGGATGCCCCGCCCACTCGCCAGTGGTCCTGCGCCAGGCGCCCCGCCCCGTCCAGACGCTCCTCCTGCTGTCTTTGGAGCAGGTGCCAAGCAGCAGGGGTGGAGGAGGAGCCGGGGCTCTGGGCCTGACCCCCTCTCACCCCTGGCCTACTTTGAGCAGAGCCGGCAGCGGCCTCGCGTGGCCCGGAGGTGCACATCGGTGCCGGCACTGGGAAAGGCCCTGGAGGCTTTTGGCCAAACCACAGGGGAGGCGCCACACCGCAGCCCTGGGCGCGGGTCTGGGGAGCTGGGGTCCGGCCGGGACTCTGGCTCTGTTGTTGGGATCACATCTGGATCGCATGTCCTCTTCCCAGCCTGGGCCTGCACACACAATAGAAAGCCTGGGCGTGGGGAGGGGCAGGAGGACCCGGCCCTCAGCTGTTCAGCGCCACCGAGGGCCTCTGTGTGCTGGGAAGAGCTCTTAGTACAGCTCTGCCCTCTCGCTCGCAAGCCCTGAGCCTCAGCTTTCACTTGTAGCTGAACCTCTCCGGGCATATTTTCCCATCTGTAAAATGGGATCTCTCTCAGGGCTAGAGTGAAGATCCACAGATCCTCCCCTAGGCTTCAGCTCCATACATGGCACATAGAAGGTGCTCAGTAAAAGGCTCCTCTGTGTTCTCTGCCTGTGCTCTTCCCTCCCGTCATGGAGGGGTCAGGGAAGCTGTCTTTCGAGAGGGGCCTTCTGGGTTGGGTTTTGGTAACTACCTAAGAGTTCACCCTCCGGGAGATGCTGCCTTTTGACCGCCCTCAGCCTGCTCTTCCCTGAGTCTGGCGTTCCGAGTCTGGAGTGGGATTGGGCGCAAGCGGGGCTGTCTTAGAGGATTACTCTAATCTGGCAGGAGACGAGGCAGCTTCCGCCCCGGGCCTGTGTGAAGCTCTGACCCCATACTTGATTTGGCATTTGATTAAGTGCCAGTTAGCTGAGGAGGCGCCAGCTCTTCTGAGCAGACAGCAGCCAAGGGGTTGCTTTCCCAGACCCCTCAGGAGCGGGGAGGCACGGGGGGGGTCCCCTCCAAGACTGCCTCCCATTGCCAGTCCATCCTGTCCCCAGGGAGGCGACGAGGATGCCGCCACACGTCACACAGGAGCTGGAGTCCGAGGGGCGTGGATGGGGTGGGGAAGGTGGGCTCCCTGTCTTCGTGTTCCAGGGCCACGTGACAGGAAGCCACGACAGCAGATAGAGGTGGCCCGAGTCAGAAGCTGGTGTGGGCCTGTCTGTGCGGGTGGTCCGGCGCCAGCAGCCGAGAGCCCAGGAAGGGTGGGTTGGTGGCAGGAGCCCGTGGGGCTGTGGGCTGAGCCGGTGTGGGGCAGCAGGTCTGCCGTCCTGTGACCCCAGGACCCACCCTTGCTCCGGGGGTCGGGACCCCGGGCCTCACGCTTGCGTGTGTGAGCCCTAAGAGCTCAGCCTGGGCTTCCCACCATTCGTCCCTGCCCCCACTGGGCGTTGCCCTAGATGGAGCTCACCTGCTGTCCCCCCCACCGCCCCCCCCCCGCACCTGCTCCTGAACGCGCCCAGCTGTGGCTTCTGAGCCAAGGCCCCGACCTGCCCCAGCTTCCAGCGAGAGAGGCCTGTCACCTTTTCCAGCCCCAACGGGCTTCAGGACGGTTGTTAATGACCCAGCTGCAGGGTGATGGGGCCTTCAGGAACGGCCGGATCCGGGGCTTCCAGTCATACCTTGGGGCCTGCCGGCCTCACTGGGAGGGTGCCCTGGGCAGGCTGGCGTGCACTCGGGTGCCAAGACGGCTTCGGCGGCGCAGGCCAGCTCCTCGTCCCCCCGCCCCCCACCGGGCCTGGGAAGCTGGGCGGCCGCCTCTCTGGTCCGGGGGGCGGGGGGCCTGGTATTGCGTCTCACTGCGCTGCTCTGGGTCCCCTCCACACCTGAGCAGCTGGCCGAGGCCTGGGTGGGCTGAGGTCCCGTGGCCCTGGGGCTGGGGGCACCCCACGGGCCAGGTCAGACAGGGAGGTGGATGGTAGAGTTAAGACGGCTGTGGCTCGCTCCGCAGAGTGGTTGCTCACAGCCCTGGGTTGCAGCAGTGAGATGGGTGGGTCCCCCCACCCCACCGCCGCCCTGCTGCGACTACCTCCCCAGTGCAGGGGAAGCAGAGGACAGAGATGCTGGGCCCTGACAAGGCCCCGGCAGCCGGTCAGAGACGAACTAGAAACAGGGCTCAGGGCCCTGACGTCCCCTGGCGCTCCGCACAAGCAGCGTGGAGCACAGCCAGCCTCTGCGGGGGACCGGAGCTGACCGGCCAGCGGCCTTCCCTCAAACGAGCCCATCCTGCGGGAGAGGACCAGGGCCGGTGCTGGTGTGGCCCAGTGAGCTGCCGAGCAGGGACGCCGCTTGGTGATGAGAAAGACTCAGCGTGGCCTCCACAACCCATCCTGGGTGCTGGCCAGCCGGGTGGCGTCAGGTGGATGCGGGCTCGCTGTACCTCCTGGCCTGACCTGGCCCTGATCTCTCGCTCCGGTCATGGACAGAGCAGGGCCCTGGACCGCAGTCCGGCCCCGTGCTGTGATGTGTGTGCAGCCGCTCTGGGGTCTCCAGGCTCAGCAGGACAATCACTCAGGGCTCTACCACTGGGTGGGGTTCTGTGCCTCAGTTTCTCTATCCATCGAGCAGGGCTACTGAAGCCTACCCTGTGACAGGCATGAAGGTCAGGTGAGGCTGTGCAGACAGAAGTTTGGATTTGGGCACTGCCAGGCTGCCTGAGACCCCAGGACTGTGGAGCACCTCAGAAATGACCCGTGACCCCATCTCCTGCCTCTCTGTAGAGCCCCCAGGACTGCCCCCAGATCCTGCCCAGGTCTCTGGCGCCGGTGCCCACCGGCGGCTCCCGGGACATCCTGGTACCCGTGACCAGTGCTGCCGCCTTCCATGTAAGTAGAGGCCCAGCTGGGGTGGGGGTGGGGCAGCGGGGCCGCCCGGGCCAGCAGCCGTCCCCAGTGAAGTCCAGCGGCTCTCCCGCTCCCATGCGCTCTGCATCCCTCCCCCCTCCACCTTTGGTTCCATTTGGGAAAAGCTCTGCTCGGGCTGCATGGAAGCAGGGTGGGGGGGGACGGGGAAGGAAGCAGGGGACGGCAGCCAAGGGAGACGGGCCAGCCCCAGGGGACCCCGCAGGTCCCCGGGCAGGATGGGCCCTGCCCCTAGCTGGCACCACAGGCCATGGAAACGAGCTCCAGACATTGCTCTGCCCGTCCCATCCTGGCTGGCTGGCCTGAGACACTGGATGTGGCCGTGGGGTGGAGAGCGCTGGCTGGTTCGTGTCCCCTGCATCTGCCCTGGAGGACCGTGGAGAAGCCTTTGTCCCCAGTTCCCCGTGTGCAGAGGAAAGCAAGGCCGGCCCTTGGGCTCCTGGCGTCCAGCTGCCTTATCTATACTTGGGGAGGAGACACGCCTTCCAGGTCCCTCCTGGGAGGAAGCAGTGCTGAGCCCTGGAGAGGTGCTAGCCCCAGGGACATGCATCTGTCACTGGCACGGGAACTGAGGCCGGGACGATGATCACACGCGGGGGCCACGTGCCAGGCATCTGGGATGCATCAGGAAGGTTCTGTGAGGGCCAAGGTGGGGCTGCCTTTCCCCCTCCACCAGAGGCTCCGCCCTGCACAGGCTGGAGACCGAGCAGGGGTGAGTGGGAAGGGCGCTCGGCCTGCCTGCATCCCAGAGCCCCGGATCTGGAGGTCCCAGCCCTGATCTGGCCCTAGCAGATCCTAACTGCGTTAACGGAGGTCTCTGCTGTCATCAGCCACAGAAATCCCCTCTCCTCCCCTCTGTCACCAGCCTCCCGCCACCCCCTGCTTCTAGGACCCCGGGGCGGTGTTCTGAGTCTCCACCCTGGCAGCCCTAGCGCATGCACCCAGCTGCAGCTCAGCCCTGCTGGGACAAAACGGCTCTTGACCTGTCAGCTACCGTTTTCCTGCATCTGCTCCTATGCTGGCACCCCAGAAAGGGGAGGCTGGCGTTATCCGAGTGTCCCTTGTACCAGTGACACACTCCGGAAGAACCCGAGTCGGTTCCCTCGGTGCTGATGCCGCTCTGGAGAGAGCGGGGCTCGGCCCAGCAACGGACCCTGCCCACTGCTGTCCCAGACACGCGAGCAGCGCCCGCACACCCACCCCAGCAGGATGGGGGCGCCTAGCGTGCAGACCCCTAACTATAATGCAGGCTCTCCAGTCTTCCTGGCAGCCCCGCAGGCTGGGGGAGCCCATTCCTACCGCGCAGGTCCGAGAGTGAGGCTCAGAGAGCGGGGGAGGTGTGCGTGAGGTCACACAGCTAGGAAGTGAAGGGATTTGAACCTCTGACTCTGTGAGGTAGAAGCTGAGCCCTTGGCTGTCCGTGGTGCCTGCAGGCCAGGGCTCAGTGCCTGCCTCTCCCCAGTGGGTGAAGAGACAGGGCTGGCGGGGAGGAGAGCCCCTCTGTCTCTCTCTCTCTCTCTTTCTCTCTCTCTCTCTCACACACACACATACACATGCACTCACGCACGCACCTTTGGGAGCAGAGACGCCAGGGCTGGAGCTCGAGGCTGCACTTAGTCTTGTTGATGGCAGAAGAGATGCCAGCTGCCCAGGAGGCATAGGCTGGAGCAGAGGCCCAGCATGGAGAGGCCATTGCAGGGAGAGGGAGGACACGTGTCTGGAGCCTGTAGCCGGGAATGGGCAGTGAAGTCCAGAGGGCCTGTGTCTCTGGGAGCTGAGCCTCTGGGCTGAGCCGGAGGCCCCAGCGGTAGGCTCTGGGTAGGGGGCAGCCTTCAGCATCAGGGCACGAGGCCTGCTGTTTGTGCCTCCCTGCCTCCCCCACACTGGGCCCCACTGTCAGCCCAGGAGCTGGCCTGACGAGGTGGGGGGAGAGGAGTCAGTGTGGCTCTTCTCAGCCCCCTCTGTCCCTGTGTCCCTGTGTCCCAGGGTACCGCGCTGGAGTGCAGCTTCGGGCTGGAGGAGAGCTTTGAGGCCGTGTGGGTGAACGAGTCAGTTGTCCGTTGCAACCAAGTCGTGGTGAGTGGTGAGGGCCTGGCTGTGGGTGGGGGGTGGCTGTGTGGGTTCTGATGCTTCCTTACCCCCAGCCCTCCCAGCCCAGTGTGGCGCCCCTCCTTCCACAGACCAGACCCCACCCCGCCCTCACCTTCTCCTCCTTCTGCAGCTGCACACGACACAGAGGAGCCAGGTGTTTGTCCTCAGCCTCCAGCTAAAGGGCCGAGCTGCCCAGTTTCTGGACAGCCCTGACCCCATGACAGGTGGGTGCTCCCCTTCTCCCCCTCCCCCCACATGTACACGGCCAGAGGAAAGCGGGCCTGGTTCAGGCACCACGCAGCCCCAAGTGCCCCTCCCCGCCGTTCCCCGATTCCCCCGCACACGCAGCGTCCCTGCAGAGGCCCCGGGATGTGCCCCCAGTAGCTGTGCGGCGTTGGGCATCGTGCTTGTCCTCTCTGAACCCCTCTGTCTCTTACAAAGGGAGGCTCACCAAGCCTGTCGGCCGTGCCCTGGCAGAGGTGGCATCCCCAAGGGGTGGCTGGCACCATGACCGGGCTTATATATGTTGAGCCAACTCTCCCAAGAGCCTTTCTGAGTATGGGGGGATCTCAAGGCCTCTCTGTGTACCATCCCGAAGGCAGTAGGGAGGCCCCAAAACTGTCTCACCCCCGCGCACAGCTCCCCATTGTGAGTGCTCAAACAGGTTTCTTCTCTGAGCCTCTGTGGTCTGGCGCTGGTTGATAGCCTCCAGCACACAGGAGCCCCTAACGAGGCTGTGGGCCCACAGAGGTCAACACAAACCAGGGCCAGGAGAAGGCCCTGGGAACTGCGCAGGCCCGCCCGTCCCGCCCCAAACGTACTGCCTGTGTCTCCTCAGTTGAGGTCTACAACTGTGCGGTGGGCAGCCCCGACTGTTCCCAGTGCCTGGGCCGCGAGGACCTGGGCCACCTGTGTGTGTGGAGCGAGGGCTGCCGCCCGCGAGGCCCCCTGCAGCCGCCCCCTGGCACCTGCCCGGCCCCCGAGATCCGCCTGGTAAGCCGCAGGGCCTGGCCCTCGCCACCCACACCCCTCGAGACCCAGCCCGAGGCTGTGGACGGGGTGCGGCTGGGGTCCCAGCATACGCCTGCCTCCTGGGGCTGCCGTGTTGGTGGGGAGAAGACGGCACGGATCAGGAAGGGAGTTGGATGTGCGGGGGGGGGGGCGCGTGCCAGGAGGAAAGGGGCAGGGCAGGCCCTGGGGAAACCCGGCCGGGTATCACAGGTCCTTGTGGTCAGGCGAGTGAGGACTGAGGCCTCCACTGAGTCACTGGCCCCTGCTTTGAGTTTTCAACTCAGCGAAGGATTCTGATTGGCTTAGCTTAGGTCAGAGGCCCAACCCTACCTGGGATTCAGGATCCTGTGGTTAGACTTGGCCATTGGGAGCTGACTTCTGTGTCTCCCAAGAAACTCCCTAGGAGGTACCCCAGCCCCAGGGGGCGTCCCTAGGCACACACACCTGTCCTTATGGGCAGCTGCGCCCACCCCTGTCTGAGCAGAGAATCGGGTGGCCAGCCCCCTACCCATGTGTGTGACCATGCAGCCCGCCCCCACCGACCCTCCCAACCCTGCTTGCCCCTTTGGTCCTTGCAGATTGAGCCACTGAGTGGCCCCTTGGATGGTGGGACCCTGCTGACCATCCGCGGCAGGAACTTGGGCCGGCGCCTTAGCGACGTGGCTCACGGCGTGTGGATTGGCAGTGTGGCATGTGAGCCGCTGGCTGACAGATACACGGTGTCAGAGGAGTGAGTGACAGCCGCTCCCGTCCCGCCTGCCCAGCTGTCCTCCCCCTCCCCGCTCCTCCCAGTGCCCTGTTGCCACACACACACACACACGCACGCACACATACACACACACACACACACACACGCACACACACACACACACACTGCTTCCTGCCCGGCCCAGGCCCTTCCACTCTGTGCCCCCTCCTCCAGGAAGCCCCTGTGCTCCTCAACCCAACTCTGTAGCTGAGCTTTGCTTTGGCAACACTTATTTGCCACTCAGAACGTTTTGGGTTTGGGGGGAAGGGTTTGTTGTTGTTGTTGGTCATGGGGCTTGAACTGGGCCTGGGCTCAAGGTGCGCGCTCTACCATTTGAGCCACAGCGCCACTCCTGGTTTCTTGGTGGTTCATTGAAGAGTCTCACAGACGTTCCTGCCTGGGGTCCTTAGACCTCAGCCTCCTGAGTAGCTGGGATGACAGGTGTGAGCCACCGGCACCCGGCTCTGAGAATGTTTTTAGGGGCTACCCTGGTGGGGTGTGGGAGATTCTGCAGGGTGAGCTGGACTTGCACGGCGGGAGGTCAGAGCCTCAGGCAGCCGAGATCCTCAGGATCCAGCCCCTGACCTAGAGCTGCTGGACTGTGGAAACACGCGGGCTGGGTGCTGCCCGAGTTTAGCCCCCGGGAGCTCAGGGAGCTGTTGCCCGCTGAGAATTGCTTGCTGGTCCACACGGGCAGTGCCAGCGTGCGTCTCCCAGCTACAAGCCAGGGCCCAGGGCGGTGCGGGGCGGTGGCGCCCCACGCTGACTGCGCTGCTGCCCGCCCGCCTCAGGATCGTGTGCCGCACGGGGCCGGCCCCGGGTGCCTTCTCGTCGGTGGTGAGCGTGAACGCCTCCAAGGAGGGCCACTCGAGACAGCGCTTCTCCTACGTGGTAAGAGCCTTGTCCACCTGCTCCTCTCTCCCGCCCCTCTCGCCTTCCGGCTGGCTGAGGTCTGGCTGCCTGTTCTCCTCCCACAGCTGCCCACCGTCCACTCCGTGGAGCCCTTCATGGGCCCCCAGGCCGGGGGCACGAGGATCACCATCCAAGGGAGCCATCTGCACGTGGGCTCCGAACTGCAGGTCCTGGTGAACGACACGGACCCCTGCGTGGAACTCGTGTAAGCCCCAGGCCCCCACCCCGAGGTGGGGAACCGCCCGCGTCAGCCGGCCTGAGGTCCTCCCTGGTCTCAGCCCTCTGGCCTGCACAGCGCCGGCGAGGACGGAGCAGTGCCGGGCAGCCGCATGGCAGGTCTCCGCAAGTGGGTGCTGTCGTGTCCACACTCGGGTCCTCCTGCTGCTCCTGAGCCGGCCGGCCACTGCCGGGC